AGGTCCGTGCTGAGGGCGCTGGAGAGGCTGTGGGAGAAGGCAGCACCTGCGGGAAGAGGGTCCTTTGCACCGGACCTGCACAGACCCTGTGCCCCGATGCACCGTGCGCCCCTGTCCCTGTGCACCCCCGTCCCTGTGCACCCCTTGTCCCCCTGTCCCCCTGCCCCTGTGCCCTGATACACCGTGCACCCCCTGTCCCTGTGCACCCCTTGTCCCTCCGTCTCCATCTCCCCATGTCCCTCACCGATGGCCAGCCCGTCCGTCAGGTTGTGGATCCCGTCCCCCAGCACCACCATCCAGACAATGTCAGTGGCCCTGGGGCTGGGGGGCAACGCGGGGCCGTGGGAGTGTTCGTGGGAGTGTCCATGGGGGTGTCCATAGGGCTTCAGCTCCAGCTCTGGCTCCGGTGCCGTCAGGTGTCGCAGCTCGGCCCCTGCGGTGGCAGAGACACGGGGTGGGTGCTGGGGCCGAGGGCCGCGGGCACTGCGGGGTGCGAGGGGGTCTTACCTCCTCGCAACGGTGCCAGGACCCCCACGGCCACGTCGGGGGTCTCTCCAGGGGAGCATCCCTGGGGAAGACAGAGGCGTTGGGTGCAAAGCTGGACCTGGTGGCAGCCCCACGCCCTCCCCAGTGCCCACAGCTCGCCGTGGCCTCCCGGCTCCGCCGCAGCATCCCCAGGAGCAGCTCCACCAGGAAGAGCAGGTAGATGCCCCCCAGCACCGCCAGCCCCTGCAGCACCGCGGCCCCCAGCTCTGCCGGCGTCTCCTGGTGCCTCCCCTGGGCCTGGACACGGGTGACCCGGCGGCTCAGGGGACCCGGACACCCCGGTCCCCGCCACCTCCGGCCCGCCAGGGCAGGGCTACTACCTACATGGGGCCAGAGATGGAGCAGGGCGTCCCCGCAGAGCGTCCCCACGGCCAGCGCCACCAGGAAGGCCAGCAGCGAGCGGAAGAAGCCACGGCTCAGCAGCGGGACGAGGACGACGGCCAGGGCAGAGGGCAGGCTGACGAAGGTGACGGCCAGGAGGCCCCAGCCCAGCGCTGCGGAGTGGGTGAGACAGGCACGGCCAGGGCAGGAGGACGCAGGACCCAGGGATGGGGATGCAGGATGGGTGTCCTTGGTGACGCAGGGATGGGGACCCCGGGACTGGGACTGTGGGGTGATGGGAACCTGGGGATGGGGGATGCGGGAGGGGGACACTCGGGGATGCAGGAATGGTCAATGCAGGGATGGGGTGGCAGGGACTGGGGACATGGGGACCAGACGCTGGAGGGATCCAGGGATGGTGACGAAGGGACAGGGGACCTGGAGAGTTGATGATGGAGGAACCAGGGATGAGGATGCAGGGACAGGGTCCACAGGGACCAGCTGATGGGGGACCAGGGGCTCAGGGTGCAGGGACAGTGGACACGGGGACCAGACGATGGGGGAGCCAGGGATGGGGCTACAGAGACAGGGGACATGGGGACCAGACGCTGGGGTACCTGGGGATGGGGATGCAGCGATGTGAAACCTGGGGACCAGCTGATGGGGACCAGGGGATGGGGCTGCAGGGACAGGGGACCCAGGGACAGATGACCTGGGGCCGGGGGCCAGGGAGGGGCCCCGGCTTGGGGTTACCTGGCCACAGGGCCCCCCCCGGGGGAGGCAGCGTCACCTCATCGCTGTGCTGGATGCAGACGCGGCTGTCGATCTGGTACAGCAGGGCCGGGCAGAGGAGGGTGAACTGCTCCGGTGTCAGCTGGGACACCGAGTCCAGCCCAAAATTCACCAGCAGCTGGGTGACGTTGAGGCACTGT